GGCTTCGAAGACAGCGAGGTTCTCCTCCGACGGGAGGCCGTCCTTTGGGAAGGCCTCCATCCTCAGCTCCTGGAGCCGCGCCTTCAAGTCGAAAGAGAGCGCCTTGACCGAGCGCTTGTGGCTCGCAGCCTGCGCCTCCAAGTACTCCTTCATGGTGTCTGCCAAGGTCGCCTTTGGAGTCGGAGCTGGCGGCTCCGCTGCGGCGCATTTCGCCTGCAACCGGAGTGCGAAGGTGACCTGCGCAGGCTGGACAATCCAGCTCTTGAACTCCGCTGATTCCGCCTCTGCTGTGTACGGCGCCTCCTGCGCTTTAATAACGTCACCAATCATGCCTCGCATGGACGAGTCGGCATAGTCAAGCGGGGAGACAGATCCCATCTTTTCTGCCACCAGCCGACCAATGGACAGGTACCAGAACAGATCATGCCTCGCCTTCGGTGTCGGGTCGATCGACGCCACGAAGGTGCACCACTCGACGGCTGCATCGAAAGTGGCCCTGCAGAGCGCTCCTTCCGGCAGGGCGCGCACGAAGGCACACACCTCCTCGCATGCAAAGGACATCACGTTGGAGACGCGCAGTGAGTCAGAAGGGGGCGTTCGGCGCAGAACGAACAGTCACGCTCGAACCCAAACAACTCCGGAACACCCAGGCAGGTGCCCAACGTGGGAAGTCAGAACGCCTGGCAATGATGCGCCACGGCCTGCAGAGCAGCCTCCTACAGGACTGTTGCACCACGGACCACAGGACCACGGGGGCAGCCTCCCTTGGGGCACCCGCGCCACGCTGCACGGGCAACCGAACAAGACAAGCAGAGCAGCCACCTGCAGGACTGTTGCGGCACTGGCCTCCCGAAGGGCCTGCAGAGCAGCCTCCCGCAGGGCTGTTGCGCCACAGACCACAGGACCACGCACAGCAACCCCTAGGGCGCCTGCGCCACGCTGCACGGGCAACCGAACAAAACATGCCGAACAGCCTCCCGCAGGACTGTTGCGGCACCGGCCTCCCGAAGGGCCTGCAAAGCAGCCTCCCGGAGGGCTGTTGCGCCACAGACCACAGGACCACGCACAGCAGCCACCGGGGCCCCTGCGCCACGCTGCACGGGCAACCGAACATGCCGAACAGTCTCCCGCAGGACTGTTGCGGCACTGGCCTCCCGAAGGGCCTGCAAAGCAGCCTCCCGCAGGGCTGTTGCGCCACAGACCACAGGACCACGCACAGCAGCCACCGGGGCCCTGCGCCACGTTGCACGGGCAACCGAACAAGCCAAGCAGAGCAGTCTCCCGCAGGACTGTTGCGGCACTGGCCTCCCGCAGGGCCTGCAGAGCAGCCTCCCGCAGGGCTGTTGCGCCACCGACCACAGGACCACGCACAGCAGCCACTGGGGCCCCTGCGCCACGCAGCGCGGGCAACCGAACAAGACACGCAGAGCAGTCTCCCGCAGGACTGTTGCGGCACTGGCCTCCCGCAGGGCCTGCAGAGCAGCCTGCGCCGCGCATGCGGCCGAGTGGCAACGAGAACCCAGGAGCGGCAGTGGCCCCGGGAGGCGGTGGCGACGAGGAGGCCCGTGGCGACGAGGAACCGTGGCGATGAGGAGGCCCGTGGCGACGAGGAGCCGTGGCGACGAGGAGCACCAGCAACGCCCTAAGCTCCAGAATGCACGGACGAAGCCAGGAAGGCGACGAGGAAGGGCAGCGGCGACGAGGAGCACGAGACGCAACCCGAGCGCCCAAGAGCACGGCCAGGCGCGCCCGTACCCGCACAGGGGCACCACTGCCACCGCCAGCCAAAGGCGCGGTTATCCTCGCGCACTCGCGGCCAGAGGGAGGAGAAGGGCAAGTGGCGTAGCATCCCCACGCCCAAATCCACCAGCCGCACGCGGCCACCGGCTGTAAGCACAACGATCCGCCGCGCCACGGGGGGCACTGCCAGGCAGTGAACCAGCGCGATTCCCCTGAGGCCACCGAGGCCAGGAAGCGAAGAGACCACTCGAGTCCTCCTGGAGATTTTCCTGCCCCCCAAACCGCTGCACGATTTAGGGGCGATGAAAATGTTCGGCAGCGTGGGCCCCGAACAATGACTTCTTGCAGTCCATGCGTTGCGATCTAGGTGGTGCCATAACTGTTTTGCACCGCCAGTACATGTAGCGCACACTAGGTGGTGCAATCACTGCAGCGCAATCCAGCTTGGTGCAACCAACCTATTCTTTTTCTCCTCCGCAAAACATCCGGCCACCTCAGCTTCAATGCCTGCAATACACGTCAGCGAAGCTGCGCTACAGCCTGAAACGTACTAGAGAACAAACGGCCGCTGATCCGCGGAGACACTGCATACCCCAAGCGAGCTATCAAGAGCAAGCCGTGAAGCGACCAGGAAACGGAACCCAGAAACGAGGAGAAGGAGAAGACGCAAGAGGCGCAAGAGGAAAGAGGAGGGACGACGAGCACGCGCCGGCGCCCCCAGAGGAGAGGGGGGGGAACAACTGCGCGGCTGCTGCACAAGGTGTATGTACCCCCGCTGACGCCCACGTCGGTGGCACCTCACACAGATATGAAGCCCCAAGCAGCAGCGAGAGAGGGGGAAAGCAAAAGAGAGAGAGACGGAAAGCAGAGGACAAGATAATAACAGCCACAGCGGAAAGGAAACAAGGCCAGAACTGATCGATGTATTGCAATGGCGCCTGGCAGCCGCCATGCTCGAGCACCCCAAGGCGGCAGGAGGACGAGCCCGGCACAGCGGCCGCGGTCGGGGCGCCAGCGGCCAGGCAGGGGCCCGCCATTGCACAGGGCGGGAGACGAAACCTCCAACTAAATGGAACAAACTAACAGGGCCAAGGGGAAGAAAAGAGAGAAAGACAGGGGGGAATATCCTGTAACAACTCGCAGGCCGTGCTCAGAACTTCATGCCGATGACCCCTGGCCCAAGACGTTCGCCCGCTCGCCCATCAAGGACGCAACAAAGTAGAACCAGGCCGCGCTGGCGTCGGTGCGGGCGTCGGTGCTGGCATCGTCACTGGCGTAGCGGCCGGCGGCGGTGTCGGCGCAGGCCCCGCGGAGAGATTCGGCGGGAGGTTTGGACCAACGGCTTACCGCAGAAAGCACTGTAGGGCTGGTGTTGACGTTGGCGCTGGCGTTGGTGGGGGCGTCAGTGCTGGCGCTGGCGCTGGTGGAAGCGCTGGTGTTGGGGCCAGCGTACGTAGGCGCATCGATGAAAACCTTACGTGGTCGAAATCGCCGTCCAGCATGTGCACTGGCAGGCTGTGGAACCCACAGAGCTTGTCCTAAAGGCCGCTGTCCTCGGCAGGGGTCGGGGCTGAACGAGACGGAGTAAGCGCCGGGACGGCAATCTAAATTGGCGTCAGGCGTCGTAGTCGAAGACGGGATCGTGTTGTTCCCGGCGTCGAAAGACGGGGTACTCGTGTCCCACGGAGCTGGCGTCGAGGGCACACTCGAAAGAATGCAGCCCTCTAGCCTGTCACGGACTCGGTGCGTCCGCCCTCAAGCACGCCATTCCGCCTCGCAAGCGTGGTGCGGCATGGTTGGATCTCCCTCCGGTGAGTCGGTGCTGGCGTCGGCGCTGGCGTCGGCGTTGGCGCAACTACTGCCCGTCTGCCCGTGGCGAGAGCCGCGCAACAAAGTAGAACCCAAGCGCGTGGCTAGCTGGTGCGTTCTGTCGGCACCAATGCTTCTCTTCATCTTGCACGTAGCACAATATCTGTGCTCCTAGAGGGCGTGCCGGGGAGTCGGCGCCCAGTCACGTGGTTCGCTGCCAAAATTCGCCTTGCTGGTCGGAGTTGTCTGGCGGGTGCTCCCTCGTGCTGCTTGTACCCTTCGCGCCGCTCCCTGTCGGATGCTGGAGGTGATCGGTGGCGGGAGTGGGGCGTCGGATGCTGGAGGCTCGAGGTCGGAGTGTTGAGCTAGTAGAAGCGGAAACTTGATAGCTGGAGATGGACGGAGAAGCCAGACGCTGAAGGACAGGACGGAGTGCTGGGTTGTATGGGGCTGGAGGTCGATGGGTGGAAGTGGACCGTCGGATGGTGGATACTGGAGGTCAGAGACCAGAATTGACGGAGGCTGGAGTCCGATTGGTCGAAGTGAGGTGGAGCGTCGGGTGCCGGTGGCTGCATGCTCGGCTGGCGGGGACTGGAGAACGATAGGTCGAGGTGGTAGTGCGTCTGCGGAAGTTGGAAGCTGATTCTGGTCGTGGTCATGGTTGCTGTTCGTGGTCGCGGTGGCTTTTTCAGCTCGCGGTCGTGGTGGCCTCGCGTGGTCATGGTGACGGTTTCTGTTCGTTGTGGCTCTTCCTCGCCTTGGTCGTGCTGGCAATTCGTGGGCGTGATGGATGTTCCTGGTCGTGGTCGTGGTGGCTGTTCGTGGTCGTGGTGGGTGCCTCATGGTTACCTGCATGTGCCTTCCTGGGTGGACGCTGACGTGCCGCCGTGATATTCCTGGACGTGGTCGTGAAGGCTGTTTCTCGTCGCGTATGCTTGTTCTGGTCGTGGTCCTGGGGGGCCATTTGTCAAGGGTTGGGTTTTCCGTTATGTATCGTGCATTTCTTCCCTCGACTCTTCGATGTATGCATTGATGCGCAGAAGCTCCACGCAACGAAGATGTCACAAATTTCGTGTGCTCGGTTCGCCGCTGCCCCTTGGTCGCCCAGCTGTTCTCCGCGCCGTCGTGCGAACCTGGTGCTGCAGACGGGGCTGGAGTTGTGAGGGGCGGGAGCTTGGAGCCACAGCCCATGTCGACTCTACGCAGTTCGACGCAACGCGATGCAACGCGATGCAAAACCACGCAACGCAATGCAAAACAATGCAAAGCGGGTGGCGACGAGGCGGCGGGCGGCAGCGGCGAGGCGGCGTCGGCGGCCACTGGCGGCCAACGCGTTGGCAGGACCACAGATGATAATAATACTCATGCGTGATAGCGAGAGAAAATCAGACGAACGAGAAACATAACTCATAATAGGAATCATCGTGCGGAGCGAGGGGGGAGGGAGGGGTACGGTGGGAGGGGGAGAAGGGAAGGATGGAGGGAGACGAGACACCAACGGGACCTGTGTGCGCATCCAGAATATTGTTGACGTGCCTATATAACCTCAGTCCTGCACGTTCACCACGGGCACCCCGGCAATGATGGGCTCCCGCAGCGGCTTCAGCTCCCTGGCACGGCTGCCCGACTCGCAACCGATCATGAATGCCGCGTAGATGATGCCAGGCACGTAGCCGAGGATGGTCAGGACCACGCAGATCACCAGCTCCTGCGAGGCGGGGATTTATCCATATCCACCGCCTGGCAACCGACGTCCTGGTGTGCGGTGGATATGGATATATGCTGGCGGGGGCCCGAATATGTCCATGTCCACCGCCTGCCGAGGTCCCCGAAAATGGGTCCTGCAGACGGTTGTCATGTGTGAATTCCTGCCTCGGAGCTCCGTCCCGCACCCGAAGCGCCAGTAGATGCCGAGCGGCGGGAAGATGTAGGCGCAGAGGCACGAGCAGGCGAAGTTGCAGCACATCCTGGCCGCAGTGCAGCGCGGCCTCGCCAGCCCGGCGCGCACAAGGGGAGGAGGAGGAGGGGGAGGAGGAGGAGGAGGAGGAGGAGGAGGAGAGGCCGGGGGATAGTGGAGTCTCTCGTCGTTTTGATATGGTTTATCGAGTGGAACGCTCCTTCATCTTTATAAACTTTGATGTTTGTTGTTATTTGTTTGTTCGCCATCCCCTCATAATATGCTTCTCTCGTTATGTCGTTATCTCGTGTTCTTTCTCTCTCTCTCTTTCTCTCTTTGTCTCTCTCTCTCTGTCTACCTCCTGCACCAGGCCAATGCATGCCGATGCGATACCAATCCATTGCCAACCAATGCCAATACCAATGCAGTGTGAATGGGGGAATCCTTTCGCTCGGTGGATTTCAATTAGAATCCTTTGTGGACAGTGTCATTACGAATCCTTCTTCTGAGGATTTCAATGGGTCGGTGGAGGGTTTCGATAAGGATCCTCCTGTGGAGGGTTTCACTCGGAATCCTTCTGGTGGGAGTTCAATAGGAGTCCTTCTGCGGAGGGAGCCATAGGACTCGCCAGCGCAATGCCAACGCAATGCCGAAGCAGTACCATCGCACTGCCAAACCAATGCCAAGGCGATCCCAATCCAATGCCAATGCAATGCCAATGGGGGGAGCCTTTGTGGTAGATGTTTAAAGGAATCCTATTTCTGGAGGGTTTCAATAGGAATCGTTGTGCGAAGGGAGACACAAGGACTCGCTAGCGCAATGCCAGCGCAATGCTAACGCAGTGCCCAATCCAATGCCAATGAGGGAATCTTTTCGCTCGGTGGATTTCAATCAGAATCTTTTGTGGGCAGTGTCATCACGAATCCATCTTCGGAGGATTTCAATAGGAATGTCTTTGTGTAGGGTTTCGATAGGGATCCTCCTGTGGCGGGTTTCACTCGGAATCCTTCTTGTGAGGGGTTAAGTCGGAGTCTTTCTGCGGAGGGAGCCATAGGACTCGCCAGCGCCAGTGCCATCGTAATGCCAAACCAATACCAAGGCGGTCCCAATCCAATGCCAATGCAATGCCAATGGGGGGGGAATCCTTTGTGATACGTTCCAAAAAGAATCTTGCTTGCGGAAGGTTTCAATCGGAATCGTTCTGCGAAGGGGGGGCATTCGGACTCGCTAGCGCAATGCCAACGCAGTGCCAACGGAATGCCAAACCAACGCCAAGGCGATCCAAACTTAGTGCCAATGCTACGCCACTGGGGTGGATTGCTTGTGGTAGCGTTCAATAGGAATCCTTCTAAGAACTCTTCTGTGGACGATGTCATCCACTTAGGAATCCTTCTAAGGACCCTCCTTCGAATGATTTCAATAGGCATCCTTCTGTGGAGGAATTCGCATGGAACCCTTCCTTGGAAGATTGCAATGTGAATCCTTACTGTGGGGGGGTCCGTGAGCATCATTCTTGTGGGCGTATTCCGATGATGTGGAGCGTTTGGCTGGGACTCGCCAGCGCAATACCATCGCAATGCCAGCGCACTGCCATCGCAATGCCAACGCAATACTAATGCGATGCCAAACCGTTACCAAACCAATGCCAATGCAATGCCGATGGCATGATTCCAGTCGTTTAACAGATTCCAACAGGAACCCTTATGTGGATGCTTTGGTTACGACTCCTTCTTCGGATGATGTCGATCGAAATCTTCTTGTGAAGAATTTTGGCAGGAATCCTTCCGTGAAGGGTTTGACCATGAACCCTTCATGTGGGGACTTTCGAAGAGAACCCTTCGTGTGGAAGGTTCCAGCAGGAATGATGCCATGGCAATCCCAATCCAATCCCAATGAAATGTCTGGGGGGGGAATCGCTTGTGGCCGGTTTTGATCGGATTCCTTCGATGGAGTGCTGCGGATGGGTGCAATGTAAACCCTTCTTGTGGAATGCTTCAATCGGAATCCTTCCTGTGTGGGGTTCAATGTGAAACATTCTGCGACGGGAGCTACTGGAACTCGCCAGCGCAATGCCAGCGCAATGCCAGCGCAATGCCAAGGCAGTGCCGAGGCAATTCCAACTTATGCCAAGGCGATCCCACCCCAATGCCAATGCAATGCCAATTGGGGAAAGCATGTGTGATAGATTTCAATCGGAATCATTATGTGGAGGGCTTCGCATGGAATCCTTAAACGTAGGGTTTCAATAGGAATGAACATTTTTTTGTGGAGGGTTTCAATCGGCGTTCTTCTGGTAGAGGGTTTCAGTCTGAGTCCTTTTTGTGGAGGGTTTCATTAGAACCCGCCAGCGCAATGCTTGCGACATGCAAGCGCAATGCCAACGCACCGCCAAACGCTATGCCAACGCAGTGCCAATTCGATGCCAAATCATGGCCAAACCAATGCCAAGCAGGGTATTTCTTTGTGTCGAAGCATCTCGATAGCACGCACATACATTCTAGGGCAAGGAGGAGGAGGGTGGGGGGGAGGAAAGAGGGAGCTGAGCAGCGCGGAGGAGGAGGAGGAGGAGGAGCACCACCCGTTCCCCCCCGAAAAAAAATCAAGAAAAAGGGGCCGCGCCGCGTTCTTTTTATTTGTGAGGGGAGGGAAGGGGTGCAGGATAAGCAAAAAGCTAGATCCTGGGGCAAGGAGGAGGAGGAGGAGGAGGAGGAGGAGGAGGAGGAGGAGGAAGTAGCGAAGCAACGCGAAGGAGGAGGATGAGGAGGAGGAGGAGCCCCCCCCCACCCTCAACAGACAAATAATGTCAAACACCTTAGGCCGAGCCGCATGTGTTTTTTTTTGAGGGGGGGTGCAGGAGAAGCAAAAAGCTAGATCCTGGGGCAAGGAGGAGGAGGAGGAGGAGGAGGAGGAGGAGGAGAAGGAGGAGGAGGAGGAGGATTTTTGACATCAGCATCAAGGATGAGTGCCCGCCCAGACAATTAGGGCAGGCAGGCTGGCCAGCGCCAGCAAAAGGGAACTAACACCTGAAGACAGAGGAACGGCAGGAGGCCACATAGACATCTCCAGCTGGCTGGAGGATTCCCCGTGACCAGCTGCTTCTCCCCCAGGCATTAGTCAGAACTAGAGTCGCCCTCGTGACGATGCGGCAGCTTCGGAACGAAAAGGGCCTCGTCTTCTTCCTCCCGAAGAGTGGGCGAGGCACCTTGCGACACGAGGCCTGGGCCTGAGACTGAGACGGCGAGTCCCGAGGCGGACCGCTCGCCGCTGCCAGTAGATGCCGTGCGATCGCAGCACGGCGTCTCTCACGCGCTCCCTCCTCCTCCGAGGCCGAGGCGGGGGGGGGGGCTCAGACGAAGGGGCGGGGGCCTCCTCCTCCGCCACGTCTGGGACAAAACCAAACGAGTGGTTGCCCCAGGGCCGCGTTCCGACGTGACCTCTGGGCGCTTAGGGTGGCGCCCTCTGCGGATCAGCCCCCAGTTGTGGTAAAAAGTTGACCTAGTCGGTCCAAGGCACCTGCCTCCCAGTCCTGCAACTCTGCCATGAGACGAGTAGCAAAAACACTTCGTGCAGACTACCAGCGATGCCTGGTCTGAGCAAGACAGCGTGATGCAAGAGCGACTCTTTTTTTCCAGCGCACCAGACTCGAGACCCGCGATCGGCTTACAACGGGGAGTGCTCGGGGACGGGCCGTAGGTGGACGCACGACTAACTCTGCCACAAGTCGTGCATTTCCAGAAGCCTGGGGATGCCGCCAACTGCGCAACCTGAATAATCGTCCACTGGCATCTAGCAGACGTCGAATTCAAGAAAGAGAGACCGACGGCTTAGTCCAGGAAGCTTCGCTGAGGTCGAGGCGAGGCCAACTAGGTAGCACTTTCGCGGCTAGCTGACACGCAGCACGGGCCATTTTGATATCAGGATCCAGTCTAGCCGTGTCATCCGCAGACGGCTGTGGGTGACCAAGGTAGCCTTCACCGCCAGGCGCTTTTTTGGCGCCGACATCCGCAAAATGGTTCCCAAAACTGCACATCTTATCGAATTCAGAGGTCCATTCATCGAGCGATTGATGCGCCTTGACTTTATGGAGAGCATTTACCTCCCACATTTCGTGCAACAGGGACACAGCGAAACCACTATAGCAGCGTTTCGGCGACAGCTGGTCCACGGGTTGCAGAGAAAAGTGATCCTTGACCAGCTGCGCATCAATATAAAACTCTGACGGAGCACTGGCGAAAAAGACGGCTTGGCAGAAGGCGGCAAATTCACCTGCAGGAGCTGACTGCGGGTATGTCGGCGGAACAGGACCATGCACCATGGCACGCAAGTCGCCAGACTGGTCAACAACGGCGAAGCACCATCCAGCGCGCGAAAGCTCACGCGCGGGCGCTCCCGTCAGTGAAGAGATGCCCGCAAAAATCGAAACTCTGGGGGTCCTGGGGGAGCCCTTCAGGAGCAAAGAAGGTGGCTGAGGGCTCCACCGAGGGCTTGGGAAAATAACCCCCAGGGTGCGCAAAGGCCCCGAAACAAGACAGCACACTACCAGGCTCCCGCAAGGCTCTCTCGATGACTGCTGGCTCCACAAGGCTCTCCCGAAGCTCCTGGACGTCTGGGCAACGGCAGACCCAGAGGCGGTGGTGGAGGGTGTCAGGGGCGGTACCGCACTTGTCGCACGTCACGCTGACATCGTACCCGAGGTCCCTGGCTTTCTGACGGGTCCGCACTGCATTGGCGGCGACAGCCCTGATGCAGCCCCTCGAAGGCCGAGAGCCGTTTGCTGCGTAGAAAATGTTTGACCACGTCGAAGCAGAGACGATGAGGAACATCCCACTTAGCCCCTGCGTCCCACTCCAATCCACGAAACACAGCAGCCCGAAGGTGGAAGCGCATAAGCCGGGGGGAGATGAGGGTCAGGGAGAGGATCACCCCTTGGTCCGTTACAAAGGTGGCGAAGTCCCTCAGATCTTCTCCAAGGACTTGCGCATGGCGGCGACGGGGCCACCGACTGCACGCCACGAACATGATTCATTTAGAAAGACACCTTCCCAAGCCCGCCTCAGCTCCTTGAAACTGAGCGAACCTTCAAAGGCCCGA